AACTTATTTAAAAAAAGGATGAAAAGACTCCAAAGTGGCAATTAAAAACCAATACAACAGGACAGCGACACCCCCTGGTCAAAAGAAAAACAACGAAGAGGCAAACAACAGTTTAATTATCACCACACAGAAAACTACAGATTGAGCAACATGAACACCGTACACGAACCCTACAGAAAAACGCAGGTGAACACATCTAGTGCTCCGAAAGGACAAAATTAATTCCTTGTACTAGTAGCATTTACATTTTTTTTTAGATTAAAAACAGTCTATGTATTGCTCTATTACGTATGCTTCGCCTTTTAAGATAAATTTGATTTATTCTGGCCTCTCTTGATATAAATAATTTGATATCCTTAATAAATGAAAAGTCCCTAATGTCAGTGCGTAAACATGTGTTTCTGGAATTAACATTCATCAAGAATACGCTTAATTGAGACAAAACAATAAACATAAAACTTTTGGGAATATAAGCTACAGATAAAAATGTTGAAGGTCCAAGTTCGCATGCTATTGAAAGAATATAGCTGGTATTATATTGTTATGGCATATGATTTTATTTACTATTTTTGTTTTAGGCACGCTCTGTCTCTCTAATATGCATACTTGTGTATATTAATTTCTATATAGCCTATATATAGGCTTATATATAGGCTACAGGTAAAAAATATAACATAGGTTATCGTTCTTTCAGTACATACAAGCCTATGTATACGATTATAATTATAATCGTAAAACTGCGTGTATTTTCATCTACCTCTTCGTTTGCTACTTAGTTACTTAGTAATTGATAATGAAAAGGAAATAGAAAAGAAAAAAAAAGTCACGTCAATTACAAACTGTAGTGATATTAACAATAATAATAAATGAATGGATGCCTGTAGCCAGACTATTGCCTGCTAGAAAATGTATGTATGTGAGTGTATACCCGTTTTTTTGCGAATAAGTATCTGTATTTACCATGTTTACTATGCGTTTACGGAAATTTATGTATAGGAGAGTAAAGAAAAAAAGTTATTTCGTATTTTCTGTACTGTTTTTAAAAAGACGTTGCTATATGAAAAATCTTCAATGAAATACAATAACCGATATTAAGAGTATAGGACGGAATGATTACTTCGAGATCGATTTAAGTTACTGCGAGCATTTATTTCTTGTATATGGTATATATATTAATATTGTTTTATCCTTTTTATACTTGTAAATTTGTTGTCTATTATATCGTTAATTTAGAAGTAAGTGTTGCACATGCAATGCTTTTTGTCTCGCTTTGACGGAGTCAAAAAGCGAGACATAGGTATGCTGTTTCCGGCGGCGGCGGCGGCGGCGTCAACAATGTATGAGTTTGTGATTAGGTCTAGTTTAAAGTGAACCACTAGTGGTTGGTCCATGATATTTGGTATGCAGTTGTATTAGCACTGGCACATCTCATTTCCATGGAGATTATTTGGCCCTGCCCCCTCAGTCACAGTCTATTGACTTTGAAACTTTTGCTTAGTTTACATGTTTTAGTTTGTGATTAGGTCAGTTTATGGGGAACCACTAGTGGTAAGTCAATGATATTTGGTATGCAATTGCATAAGCATTGGCATATCTCATTTCCATGGAGATTATTTGGCTCCGCCCCCGCAGTCATGGTCTATTAACTTTAAAACTCTTGCTTAGTTTACATGTATTAGTTTGTGATTAGGTCAGTTCAAGGGGAACCACTAGTGGTAAGTCTATGATATTTGGTATGCAGTTGTATTAGCATTGGCACATCTCATCTCCATGGAGAATATTTGGTCCCGCCCCCGCAGTCATGGTCTATTGACTTTGAAACTTTTGATTAGTTTACATGTTTTAGTTTGTGATAAGTTTTGTTCAAGGGGAACCATTAGTGGTAGGCCAATGTTAATTGGTATGCAATTGTATAAGCATTAACACATCTCATTTCCATGTAGAATATTTGGTCCCGCCCCCTCAGTCATGGTCTATTGACTTTGAAACTTTTGCTTAGTTTACATGTATTAGTTTGTGATTAGATCAGTTTAAGATGAACCGCTAATGTTAAGTCAATGATATTTGGTATGCAAATGTATTGGCATTTGCAAGTCTCGTTTCCATGGAGATTATATAGCCCCACCCCCTCATAATGGTTCATTGACTTTCAAACTTTTACATAGTTAACAAGTCAATGTTTTTGTTTAGGTTTGTTGAAAGGGAACGACTTATGATAAGTCTATGGTATTTGGTATATAGTTGTATTAGCATTGACACATCTCATTTCCATGGAGATTGTTTTGCCATGTACCTTCAGTCATGGTTCATTGACTTTGAATATTTCCATAACTTACATGTTAAAGTATTGCTATTTTAATTTCAACATTTGCATTATCAAAAGTACAAAAAGGCGAGACATATCTCCGTGTTAACAGTTTATTCAATGCAAGTTTTTATGTATAATTTGCTAGTACAATGCTCGAGTTTTATAGCGGGAGGCTTATCATCTCAAACAATTAGTTCCACCCCTCCACAAATGCATCCTAAGTCTGGAACCTCAGCCTTGGTTGTTTTTTTCATATCTTAATGGTTTTTTGTCTCGCCTTGACGGAGTTAAAAAGCGAGACATAGGTATGCTGTTTCCGGCGTCGGCGACGGCGGCGGCGGCAATGTATTAGTTTGTGATAATGTCTAGTTCATGGTGAACCACTAGTGGTAGGTCAATGATATTTGGTATACAGTTGTATTAGCATTGGCACATCTCATTACCATGGAGATTATTTGGTCCCGCCCCCTCAGTCAAGGTCTATTGACTTTGAAACTTTTCATAGTTTACATGTATTAGTTTGTGATTAGGTTAATTTATGGGGAACCACTAGTGGTAGGTAAATGATATTTGGTATGCAGTTGTATAAGCATTGGCATATCTCATTTCCATGGAGATTATTTGGCTCCGCCCCCTTAGTCATGGTCTATAGACTTTGAAAATTTTGCTATGTTAACATGTATTAGTTTGTGATTGGGTCAGTTCAAGGGGAACCATTAATGGTAGGCCAATGTTAATTGGTATTCAGTTGTAAAAGCATTAGCACATCTCATTTCCATGGAGAATATTTGGCCCCGCCCCCTCAGTCATAGTCTATTTACTTTGAAACTTTTGCTTAGTTTACATGTATTAGCTTGTGATTAGATCAGTTTAAGATGAACTGCTAATGTTAAGTCAGTGATATTTGGTATGCAAATTTATTGGCATATGCAAGTATCGTTTCCATGGAGATTATATAGCCCCACCCCTGATCATGGTTCATTGACTTTGAAACTTTTACATAGTTTACAAGTTAATGTTTGTGTTTAGGTTTGTTTAAAGGGAACGACTTATAATTAGTCAATGGAATTTAGTATGCAGTTGTATTAGCATTGGCACATCTCATTCCATGGAGATTGTTTAGCCATGTACCTTCAGTTATGGTTCATCGACTTTGAATATTTCCATAACTTACATGTTAAAGTATTGCTATTTTAATTTCAACATTTGCATTATCAAAATTACAAAAAGGCGAGACATATCTGTGATAACAGTTTATTGAAATTATTATTAGTGTTGATTGCATATCTTAGATCTTTTAATTTTGTAACAGATTTTATAGACACGGGGCGATTTAGAGCTTGACACACATTGTACTGTCTATAATAATAGTTGAAGGTTGATGTTATCCTCTAGATGTCTTTTGTTTATATATGTCGTTGGGTTACTGTCTCATTGACATTCACCCCACATCTCTCATACCAGTGTCCAAAATCTTAAAGTTTTGTCTTGATGGTTCAATAACATAAAAAAACATTAGGGCCAAAAAAATCACAACTTGACGAAAGATAGAAAACGCAAGAATAAAAAGAATAAAAGTAAAAATAAAAAAAAAAAAAAAAAACAAAGAACAGTCCATAGAAAACCCAGAAATCTAAATATAAGCAACACGAAAGGGTAAGTTATACTGGTCCACTTGTAATACCGTCTTGATACGGTACAATTATTCATTTTCAAGCCCCTTTATTATCGATTAGTAAACGCATGCAATATAGGACTGACTGGTAGATGCCTCACGTTGAACCATAACTACCAATCAGTAATACATGACCATATGTACATTAGAAAATAAGAATTCCAAAGAACATAAATTGAAGCAATATGATCTGTTTTGTGAGACATCTTTACAAATGTTATTCAAATCCCGTATATAAATGGAACATAAGAGGCAAGTAGTTTGCCGATGTTGAAAACTCGTAAATTCATTTTGAATACACAAATCAAGAGGGAAAACTAAGGGAATCTCCAAAAAGAAGCTAGACAGGATAATTCTCCTGATATGCATACATTAGCACCATGCGAATCAGTAAACAGTAAAAAGTGCTATAACACAATAACAATTGGTAAATATACATATAATGTGCGTATTCCGAAGTCTTCAGATCAAAGACTGCGAAAACATGTTTCACGTGAGTTGAGGATACAGATACATCGTATCGTTCAACTGATTCGTAATGGTGCACTTATGACGTGCGTAGGGTCTGTTTTAATCCGTTCATTCTCGTAACACTGCTTGAGGGGATATTGTGTTGGGATCGCACTCCTGTTAATGAACCCCGTATAATGTTAACATGCACACGCGAAACGTATAAACTGAGATATGTAAACGCCACTCGATGTTACAGGGGTTTTGTTAGTTCTGAGAAATAGGATGTTAACAATGAGAAAACCTTAATCGTCACGTTTGTCATAGGTTATAGATTTAAGTCGTCCATCTGTGTCAATTTCAAGAAAGAAATGTAGATATGAAGCAGCAGACCTTTAATTTTTGATATATTGTCCTGAATGTCAAGAAGATTTATAATGGACAACAGATAATACTCACGAACTAAGAAATGGTTGTGCAATTCATATCTAAAAAAAATAAAACTATATGTATTTGTATAAATAACTGTCCCTTGTTCACAATGAATTGTTTAATTTGTGTTTTCAGGTATCCCGTCATCCAGCGGAAGATTATGGAAAGAACATAGAACATTTGCTTCAAACAAATTGAAGAATTTTGGATTTGGTAAGCGCAATTTTGAATCCAGGATTTTGGAAGAAGTAGAAGTATTTTTAGATTCCCTGAAAGGATACAAAGAAAAACCTGTTGATTTAAGAGACATAATTAACATAAGTATATCCAATAACGTTATGTCAATTGTGATTGGACGAAGATTCGATTATGACGATCCTAAATTCAAATATTATATTGACCTCCTTGGTCATAATTTCAGAAATTTAGAAGTTGCAGGTGTGTTGGCATTCTTACCTCAGATTTTCACCAAATTACCAGGGGATCCGTTCGGAGCTCACAAGCTAGACGATCTTATTGCTAAAACTAGAGAGTTTTATATTAACGAAGTAAAGGAGCATAAGGAACATTTCGACGAAAATAACATCAACGATTTTATTGATGCTTTTATCAAAGAAATGAAAGAAAGAAAAGACGAAGAGGACACAACTTTTACAGGTATTTAGATAAAACTCAATTTGATATATTGTTTAACTTTTTATAATGAATCGTCAGAGGTTACTTGAATTTTTAGTAAGAATTGAATGCTTCTTTTTGTAGATTTATTGGGCTGTAAAACCGTTGAGAGAAACACATTTTGTATAAAGCGCTGCTTCATACTAAAATGTGCACACGATTAACACTTTTACACCCTATAAAATTACAGAATGAACCATTCAATCTTACTAAAAATAAACCTCTGACGATCCATTATAAAAAGTTAAACAATATATCAACTTGAGTTTTGTATTATAAATACATGTATATGCTACAACCATGAAATTACGAGTTTTTTTTAAAGATTTTCATTTGTTGTCGTTGATGCATTGTAGTGATGCTGTCATGGGTAGCATGTATTGTCGTGAATGTTTTAATTTTATTGAGAAATACAATTTGATTTCGGAATGCCTCGCAATTTTTTAAAGGCAATCAAAAGTACGGTTATTATGAAACATTGATTGATTGATTGATTGGTGTTTAACGCCACTTTCAACACTATTGTGCTATTTCTTGGCGGTCAGTTTTTATTGGTTGAGGAAGCCGGAATGCCGGAGAGAACCACCGACCTTCGGTAGGAAAACTGGCAATCCTAGTCAATTAAGATTGATGATGAGTGCACCTACCCCGTGAGGGATTCGAACTCACAACCTCAGTGTTGACTGGCTAGTGATATAGTAGTTGGACGACTTAGACCACTCGGCCACCGAGGCCCCCTATTATGAAACAAACGTGTTATGTTATTATGAAACAATGAATTCGTCGAGGATTAATGTTTATTGAAAAATAATACAGCCAAATAAAGTTGTAACTGTATTTACAAACTTTCATTCGTGTAGATAAACTGCACTTAAAAACCCAAACCTTATATTTACACTAATAAGTTTGCATCAAATGATTATGCAACATTTATTATTGAATTGTTTTGCCAGAATAAAAAAAATATCCTTCGTTGAATTTTCATGTGAGATTTCAATATACTGGTACCCCTATTTCCTTGTTTTTATTTTTATAAGAGTATTGTGTTTGTGTTTTTTTTTTCATTTGATTTACATGCTATTAATTTATAAATATGATCATTTAATGTTTAAATATACAACTCTAAATTACTATTGTACTTTTTATTTACGCTTTCATTGGTATATTATGTTTGAATAAAACCAAAAACAGACAAGCAAACGAACGAACGAACGAACGAACAAAAACTTAAAAAAAAATAAAAACAGACATAGTCCATTCATACAAACACTTCAGTAAGAATATATTCAAATATTCAATAGTAAAACGTATTTTATGGAAAAAACAGTATATAAAAAAGAGTACATTATGCTTAAATATTTAAGGGTATTTTTTATGAAAAAATAGTATGAAGAAACCATAGAGCAAAAACAAAAATAGTAGTCGAAGAAAGACGAGAAAACACCGTGAACAGACAACCCCCCCCCCCCCCCCCCCCCAAAAAAAAAAAAAAAAAAAACCGAAGCGACAAAACAACAAAACTTTTGCACAGAATAACACCTACCCCAGCAAAAACCGGAGATAAACTCGACTGTTCCAGGAGGGTTAGCAATACCTGCTCCAAAAGTGGCACTCGTCGATATATGTAATGATCTTTAAAAAGCCTTTTTACACTAGAAAATTTTTAACAGAATATTTTGAACATGCTCGAGAGGAATAATGTGGCAATTTTTTTTTCTACAGATAAGCAGCTGACTGCAGTTGTTGGTGACCTTTTCTCAACAGGAACAGAAACCACATCAACAACAATTATGTGGGCAATCCTGTACCTAATTCGCAATAAACATATTCAAGATAAGATGCACCAAGAAATTGTAGACGTTGTCGGACATTCCCGTTTACCAAATATGGCAGACAAACCATGTCTACCGTATTGTGAGGCGGTTATTCTTGAGTCATTACGATTAGGAAACATAGTTCCGTTTGCGATTCCATACTATGTGACAGAGGACTTTATATACAAAGGATATACGTTTCCTAAAGGCGCCATTATATTTCTTAGCATTGATTCTGCTTTGTCAAGTGAGGAAACATTTCCGAACAGCGATGAATTTAATCCAGACCGTTTCATTGATGCAGATGGCAATCTACATGGTCAAGAGAAAATTTTAGCTTTTTCAGCAGGTACATAGAATACAAATTTCTTTTCATTAGAATTAATGATTGAAAAATAGTGAAATTTTTCATTCAAGATGTTGTCAATAATGATAAATAACACTATTCTATTAGTCAGCATTGAATGATAAGCTGGTATATTCGTTTTAGTAAGCATTAGCTTGAAAAAGTAGCTTGCCTCGCACGCTTTTTAGTAAATGCTTGGGCTATTCTTCAACTAGTTTATTCTACTTTTTTGTCCGACATTTTAATGTTTCTAATTACAGGTAGGAGGGTTTGTCTTGGGGAATCTTTAGCCAGAATGGAGTTGTTTCTTTATCTGACTTCAATGGTGCAAAGATACGAGTTTCTATCACCGGAAGGACAGGATCCACCCTCTACTGAAGGACACCTGGGTATAACTCGCACACCGTTACCATATAACTGTAGAGCTATTCTACGTAACTGACCTTGGTAGAACTCGCACACATATAACTGTAGCTCAAAACTAGAGATATTCTACGTAACTGACCTTGGTAGAACTTGCACATATATAACTGTAGCTCAACACTAGAGATATTCTACGTAACTGACCTTGGTAGAACTCGCACACATATAACTGTAGCTCAAAACTAGAGATGTCCTACGTTACTGACAATTTAGCATTGATTTGAACGAGACAGAAATCCCGAAAATCTGGAGCCTATATTTATTAATGTTGTGTATTTTAATTACTTCAGATTCATTCATTGTGTGGGTACTAATTTTCGTGGATTGAGGAAATATTGTGTTTTCTACGATATTTGATTTCGCGGAATTGTCAAATTCTGCATACAAACCTTTACAAAATATGTTGAACATTTAAATTCGTGCTTTACATGTACTCACGACAGCCACGAAAATTGGTACTCCATGAATAATAATGAATCCACAGTAAAGTATTTTGATTATATTAAAATGTCATCTTAACAGAACTTTGTTAACTTTGGCCGTGCCCAATTTAAATATAGTTCATCCCAATTTTTCCTTCACACGGATGTGAAGTGAAATTGTTACCATTATTACAATTGTCTTACAGATATGAAACAACCTGGACTTCTCTTTTAGTTTATAACAACTATAGACATCACCGGGTGTTTACTTCCATGAGCAACACGACGGTGCCATATGTGGAGCAGGATCTGCTTACCCTTCCGGAGCACCTGAGATCAACCCCGGTTTTTGGTGTGACTCGTGTTGCTCAGTTTTTAATTTTCTATGTTGTGTTTTGTGTTTTGTGTACTGTTGTTTGTCTTTTGGTCTTTTTCCTTTTTGCCATTGTATAATCAGTTTATTTTCAATTTATGACTTAAAATGTCCCTTCGGTATCTTTCGCCTCTCTCTCTCTCTCTTTAGGCTTCTTGTGATTATTTTCAATGTTTATAAAATCATATTTATTATCTATTTAGTGTCAAAAGTCTCCTAATATACTATGCAAATAGTGAATGTGTGTATTTTCCTGTCTGTCTTGATTAAGTGCAAATAATTAATAAATACATAACCATAATTTAAACCCGCTGCATTTTTGTGCACCTGTCCTAAGTCAGGAGCCTGTTTTTCAGTGGTTGTCGTTTGTTGGTGTGGTTCATAAGTGTTTCTCGTTTTTTTTTTATATAGATTAGACCGTTGGTTTTCCTGTTTGATTTGTTTTACCCTAGTCTTTTTGGGACCCTTTTATAGCTTGCTGTTCGGTGCGAGCCAAGGCTCCGTGTTGAAGTCCGTACTTTGACCTATAATTGTTTACTTTTTACACATTGTGACTTGGATGAATAGTTGTCTCATTGGCACTCATACCACATCTTCTTATTTATATATAATCGCATCAATTTGATACCAAATTTATCAAGGTTCTCATGTATTTTAGTAAGTTAACTATTTTATGACAGAAAAGTACCCATCGATCTTTACACAAGGATATAATAATAGTTCTATAGAATCCAATTGAATTTTACAGACTGCACTATTGACTATGATTTCAAAATTAAATATAATTAACTATGTTCCTTAAGGTCATTTGCTTCATTTCGTTTCATATAGACTCTAATTTGTAAGTATTTTGACTAATATTATTTTTATTTGAGAACGTTTTGCGAAATTTTTGGTTGATTTGTTAAATTGGCTTATCATATTCAGTGCTTCTAAAAGAAATATATACTTGTTACAATTAGCTATTACCCATTGCTATTTCAACCCATGATCAACTCGCGTAGGTACGAACAGAAACATATTTAGGTGTCAGACTACCAATTACTCCCTCCAATTTAAGGTATTTTCTATTAAAGTCATACATTACAGTCAGTTTAAATTGAGCTGTGAATATTGTAAGTTAAGTCGCATTATGCTCAGATAGGATTTGTTTTACTACAAATTGACCAAGGATTAAGGTAGATAGGGTGTCTTCCTCCATCTTGGATTTTGAAATACCAGAAAACAATCGGTCTAGATCTTTGAGAAAATGTGCAAATTTTGAGAGTAGTAGGTAATTCATGTGTAAGAATTCTCATTTTGATATAGAAAATGGCATGTTTTATCATATTTCTGGTTGTTTTTTACAAAAAACAGAATACTTGTGTTTGATTCAATTTTTCCAACTTTGCCACGTAAGGGGAGGCAACTCAAATGTAAGGGCAGATAATTCAGATAAAGTTACTTTTACAATAGAACGTGTTAGGAATTTACCTATTTTATTATGTAGCAAGAAAACGGGTCCCGTGACCCCGTTTTTTTCTTTTTCTTATCTGAAAGCATAATATTAGAGCTATCTTCTCATATTTTATCTCAAAATTCTATGGTGTAGTTTTCGTTTTATGGCAGAAAATTAGGTTTTCCATGCATAATCTATACAAAATCTGTCAATTTTGTAAAACCTGTAGCGTGAAAATAAGCCCCGTGACCCATTCTTTTTATTATTAAAAAAAAAAAAGCATGACATAAACTACATTTTGGCAAATCATTAAAATATTCTATGGATTATAATTTAGACACCCCATCTACCTTAAGAATAAAGCAAAACAAAAGATTTTTGATCAACTTTTTTTGCTCTTTAAAGCGAAAAGCGGTGAAACCCCAAAATCAGAAAACATTTGATTTTTTTGTCTTAACTGATCATTTGGAATGATAGTAGCCTCATTTCAATCTATTTTTTTGGCAAAAGTCACATATTGCAAATTTCGAGCCATAAACCTGAATTTGTGCTATTTAGCTTCCCCCCTGACAATATGCTTTCATATAAAAAATGTCCTAAATTGTTATGAATTCGCAGTAAGTTGTTTCTGTGGTATTTTAAAAACATTAAAACATACGTTGTTTACCACCAAAAAAAAAAACTTGTCGTCATGAAGATTTAATGAATTTGTTTGATTTTTACCCCTTATATCATTGCGTCATACCATGTATTTGACATATAATATAGCCTAATGAATTGTTAGTCTTGTATTATTTTTAATTTTAGTTTCTTGTGTACAATTTGGAGTTTAGTATGGCGTTCATTATCACTGAACTAGTATATATATTTGTTTAGGGGCCAGCTGAAGGACGCCTCCGGGTGCGGGAATTTCTCGCTGCATTGAAGACCTGTTGGTGGCCTTCTGCTGTTGTCTGTTCTGTGGTCGGGTTGTTGTCTCTTTGACACATTCCCCATTTCCATTCTCAATTTTAATGAAAACAGTGCATAAACTCTCCACAATCCCATTTATTGTCTCAAATGAAAGTTTTCTACCTTAAGTTTTATTGACTGATAGTAAATAAAAACAGTTTAATGACCATAACTGCACTTTTGATCAATTAATAGTCCCATTACTGAAACCTTGTGAAAAAAGGGGGGTCATTATTTCTTGACTCTTCAAAACCTTGGATTTTTTACTAAACTCATTGAAAAAAAATAGTGGAAAGTCTTTAAAGCAGTAGGACAAACAAGAAAAAATCAACCAAACCTGATCTTGATATTGAAAGTTTATTTTGCTGTAGTCCAAAATGAAATTTTCAAGTATTTTCTATTAAAGTCATACATTACAGTCAGTTTAAATTGAGCTGTGAATATTGTAAGTTAAGTCGCATTATGCTCAGATAGGATTTGCTTTACTACAAATTGACCAAGGATTAAGAATAAAGCAAAACAAAAGATTTTTGATCAACTTTTTTGCTCTTTAGGTGTCAGACTACCAATTACTCCCTCCAATTTAGAACGTATGTAAAAGTAGGCATACTCGGACAAAATATAGTGCATTTGATATCATTGTTTACTTAAACTAACCAACAAATTTGCAGAAATGAAACTTTTAGTATAAGAGAAATATATTAAGACCATTTTGAGCCAAAATTTACTTGTCTATGAGTTTGCATTAAACATTGAGGATTAATGCGCTCCATGGTATACTAATTTAAGATTTCCAGAAAAATAGGGGTTATTTTTAGTGATACCTCAGTTCGGGAGGTCTCTTCTTTCTTATAAAATTTTAAAGGTATGTTGAAAATTGGCATGTAGAAAGGTGATATGTACGAATCGGGATAAACCTGGTTTCTATGAAGTTAAACTTAAGGTAAAATATTTAGAAAGCTGTGAAAATTGCAAAATTTGGTTGAGCAGATAGGGATTTTTAATTGGTGGTCTGCATCCTATATACTACACATGTCTCTTGTATGAATGATCAAAATAAACGCCTTGATAACAAATCGAATTATATATAGTTATAAGAAGATGTGGTATGAGTGCCAATGAGACAACTCTCCGTCCAAGTCAAAATTTATAAAAGTAAACCATTATAGGTCAAAGTACGGTCTTCCACAAGGAGCCTTGGCTCACACCGAACATCAAGCTATAAAGGGCCCAAAATTTAATAGTGTAAAACCATTCAAACGGAAAAACCAACGGTCTAATCTATATAAAAAACGAGAAACGAGAAACACTTATGAACCACATCAACAAACGACAACTACTGAACATCAGATTCCTGACTTAGGACAGGTGCAAACAATTGCAGCGGGTTTAAACGTTTTAATGGTACCAAACGTATAAAGTAAAATAACAAAAATACCAAACTCCAAGGAAAATTCAAAATAGAAAGTTTCTTATCAAATGGCAAAATCAAAAGCTCCAACACATCAAACGAATGGTAAACAATTGTAATATTTCTGACTTGATATAGGCATTTCCTGTAGAAAATGGTGGATTAAACCTGGTATTATAGCTAGCTAAACCTTTCACTTGTATGACAGTCGCATAGAATTCCATTATATTGACAACAATGTGTGATCAAAACAAACAGACATAATAGGTAAAAATGTCAAAAATTGGGGTTCAGCAGTCAACATTGTGTTATTATCTCAAACTCTATAAAAAAAACCCAACTATGTCAACAAAGAAAAACAAAATGGCCTAGAAACTCTTATATAGACAAAGCACATAAGCAAAAATGAAAGACAAGAATACAAAAATGACCATAGCACAATACAACAATGGCGGGATGTATATAAATACAGGGATACTACCAAAAATGGACTAAACAGTAAAGGTTAAAAATATACAAAGAAAAGAAAAATAAAAAGAGCACTATAACACGTGATTAAGACGATAACCAACGTGAGTACCTAGAATCTATACTTCCAGATCATCATTTATTATAAGAGAATTTGACACGAAATATTTATCAACAAGGTCTTTGTATCTTCCGATAAAATTTTTTTGAAAAAGGACGAGATTTTCTTTGACATAACCCTGGTTCATCAACTTTCTGCTCAGACACTGGTGACGTTTTATAAAGTCTGAGTAGCAGCTGCAATATCTTTGAATACCGAATGAGTTTAGAAATGTATATTCCATATGCTGGAAAAGTTGGTATATTGCTGCGAAGGTGAGAGAAATTTATAATTTCAAAATTAAAATCGTCTCGTTTGTCATAGATTCTGGTACTGAGATGACCGCTTATGTCAAATTCGA